GTACACACACTTTAGGAAAGCCTGACTCCTCAAGAAATGATTTTCAAACTTCTGGAAACAAGAACCTCTTAAACTAGAACATTCTAAGCAGTTGTATTGGTGTGCACATGTGCGTGTGTGCATGCATGTGTGTATTTTTTTTCCTAACTGACCAGTTCCATTTGCTCAATGAACCGTTTGCAGAACTATACAGGACCAAACAACTGAATAATCAAGAAGCTAAGAAGCTGTGAATTAGGACAGCTGCTGGCTTTCTAACTGCTGAAAGCTCCAAGAAAATACAAAGTTCTGTTAAGGGACAATTTTTCCCCCTGCAACTCAAAAGAACTCTGAAAGCCCCAGTGCTTATAAAGCAAAATCTATCTGAAGCAAGTCAATACTTTGTATTTTTGTTACAAGATACGCTGCATGCTGCTGCATGCCCAAGCCTCTTCTGTTGAAGATTTTCTATTAATTGAGCTCTCAGCCCAATAGTGGGCTCTCTGACTCTAGCCTTCACTTGTCTACCATAGCTGTGATGGTTAAAAGCTTCTCTGGTTTGTCAGAGTTTAATATGCACCCTACATAATTATGCAGGATTCACTGTGCTATCAAACTGCAATTCAAATTAGTTCAGGATTAAAGGCACAGAACAGTACTGCTTCCTTAATTGCATTGTACTGTGCTGATCACATTCAAATACCCATTACTCATTCCCTCTGTGGAGCAATAAGTCAGGGGGATTAATATTCAGGCAGGTGACAGGGCCAAGCCATTAAAAGGCAGTTATGCAGAAAGCATGGCTGGTTTTATTCACGTTAATGAAATCAGTGAAATGAAACTGTAATAGATTTATCAAAGCTCAGATGGATTTGCTGTAAATCAGTTTGATTCAAGCAATCAAACTGGACAATAGAGATAGTTTTCAGCTCTAGCAATGGGTGTCAGAAAGCGGCATGTGAAAAGTGCTGATATTCTTCATGTATGGATTTGATATCCACCTCGTGCACAGGCCTATTCCCAAACCACAGCTGCTAATTTTTTTGTCTTTTGAACTAGGTGCCAGTGGCTGATAAAACATACAGCATATCATCTTAATACAGCACTTACACTGTTTTTATTCCTCATTTTCAAGTTCCCGAAACATCAATTCTTTCCAGCTGCTGGTAAGGGGAAAAAAGGGAAGTTTGATAGAGGACAAACGAGCATTGCTGTTCCTCTACTGCCCAGAACAGGAATGCAACTCTGGCCAGGGTGACGACTACACAATAAGTACGAATGTCTCCGATATCAGCACGTGTGCACAGGGGAAAATGTCAGATCACAATCTGCAGGTGATAGGCTGCTGCAGGAGCCTTGAGATGCTGAAAATTTATTTTTGTTCTGGATCTAATGAAATAATTTGGTATCCATTAGAGGGCAGCATAAGAACAAAAACTAAGCACAGTATGGGAGGTATCCCCTGCAGCTAGACAAGCACCTTTGCGAGGTAAACTTTTTCAATGCAGTCATATTTTGAGTGTGAAGTCAGTGGATACAGAAAGCTAAGTAATGAAAGAGACGGGAGCAAACCCTACTGTTAGAAAAGAAATGACTCCAGGAAACACAGATGCCAAGTTAGCTTTACGGAGCTTTTGCGCCATACACTAACTCCCTCCAGATTTCACCCTCCTTTTTAAACCAGAAGTGGCCCTGTGAGCTTAATGACCTCCGAGTATTTTACGTATGGTGTTTCTGATAGGACAGCAATGAATTGTGAAATGATGACCAGGATTTTGTTTTCCTATAAAGGTGGAAGTAGGTTATACTAAAACTACTCTAATTGGTCTAATTTTTAATTATTAGAAACAAATTGTTCAAGAACCAAAGCCAGTTTTTAATGATCCAAAACAGAAATAAATGTTCTAGTCTATTAGCATCCTATATGGAATAAATCAATATTAAAACTAATTAACCCTTTTCAAAGGCATTTTGTCCCAGGTTTTTATTTAATGGTTCAGTGCTACTTAAAGCACGGATCAAGCTGGATAAGCTCCATTTAAAAAATGGCCCATTCGGAAAACAGTTTAGCAGCTCACTATGACAAATATATTTATCAGGATAAACTTGGCTTTTTCAACTACCTAAATAACTGCCCATGGCTCTTTAAATGATTTTACAATAAAATAGATATTAAGGGAAACAGCCAAGTCTGACCATTTAGTAGGAACATTGCAACACAGTAGATAATTTCATTTATTGCTTTTAGATATATTTTATCTTAGAAATATTTTCAGTTTTTATTTTTAAGGGTACTCCTCACAGAGATCGGAGTGAAGAGAGGTCCCTGTATAAGTTGCATCATTCTAGATCATATGTAAAATGCAAACCTACAATTTGTCCTTTTTGGAAGAAGCGTTCAAACACACAGTGCAAAGCATATACCTTTCAGGTCATAAATGACTACTTTGACATATGAAACTCAATGAAAATTATATACATTATTTAAGGAATTCAGCACTCTTCCCCTCTGCTATAGTAGCAATCACGGGATGTACTTTAATATTAAGCTACATTGTACTTATAAAGTAGATGATATATTTTGTACATGAATTAAATTCTTCACGGTACCAGAGGAATTAATTTGTAATGTTATGAAATTTTGATTAGCCTGCTATAAAATCAGAATTGTTTACCACAAGTGCCTGGATTCTGACTCTGTCCTTCCAAACAAATAATGAAATGAACTGGAGCACGGAGGCAGGCGGGGGTGCGGGGGGCGGGGGGGGTAATTTATGAAAACATGGTACACCATAATTTTGCCATTTTTCTGCAATAAGGATGGCAAATGATTCATGGGATAAAATGAAATATTTCTCACTGTCATTTCAATGGATCTAAGATTTACAGCTTCTTACCTTAGATAGGAAAAACTCTGTATGCATAAAAATGAATTGTAAATCCATTAATGATGGGCATTAAAAACAAAAAAATGACAATGAAGTAACAGTGAGAAAATCTAAAAAGTAACAAACAAAACAGGAAATGACTATTTGTCTAAACCTTTGAAAACAACAGCTAGCTTGCTTAAAAGCCCTTACTTAAAGGAAGGCATTGAGGTCAGGTTAAAGAACAGTAATACATCGAATAAGCTCATTGTATCTAGATCATTTAAACAAACAAAACCAGATATCCCTAAATTGAACTTAAAAAAAAAAAAAAAAAACTAATATGGAATTTAGATCTAGTCTGATAAGTGTAAAGTTGAAACAAAGAAATCCTTTAAGAAAAATCACTTGTTAATTGAAGATTCTCCTATAGCTACTAGAGCCAAAAGAAAAAATTAAGTATCTTCCTATCTATCCATCTACCTATCATGTCCCAAATCCTTGAGGTAATGAAAAAAAGCTAGCAGTAGTAAATGAAGATTAAATGTGCAACCCTATTTCTACAGGAGTCCCTGCACCTGGAAATGAGTGCAGGGATCCTTTAAAACAAAAAACAGTGAAGTCGAAAGGCTCAGAAGCTGTGGAACCACCTATACCACATGCCACGTTCTAATACTTAAGGCTGGATCAAGGCAATTTAATCCTCCTATCTCTTCTAATGAAATAGGACATATTACCTGCATTATAACATTGTCAACCTTCTAGATTCAAGTATCTCCAATGTGAATACCTACTAGAGTATGGTAAGCCATTCAAGTCAATGCCAAATGTAGAGAATAAAGATGGTACTGATAATCCTGTGAAAGCAGTATTTTGCTTAGATCACATCAATCTTATTATGTTGGACCACGCATTTAACAAATATAAAGATACCTACTGATTTCTGCAAAAGGCCCACAACCGTCTTACCACAGGACCTGAAGAACTGCTGTATCATCAGTGCTCACGTACATCATGTTCTGTGTCTGTATTTCACAAGTTAAGTAGGTAATTAGAGACCTAAAATACAAAGCTCTGGAACAAAAAGATCATCCGTTTTGTCTCTTACACATAAATTCCCTTACTATGAGGGTATCAGATCAATTTAAAACTCTGTTGCTTCTTTCCCTCATAAATCAAATATTTTCAAGCAAAACCTGACACCACTGATAATGCACTGTTGACAAAAGTTACGAAATACTGATGCAACTATCATATTCCCCCCACCCTTTTTAGGATCATCTATTTTACACATTTTGAAAACTGGAGGCAATATTTTGACAAATTTCATGTTGACAAATTTTAAAGTGCTATCAAATTTGATAAGCTGGCTCAATGAAAAATGCTTTGAGCTGCTATCTATTGTTTTCCAGGAACTAAACAAACAGTTCATTGTTCCAAGTATGTATGGGAGCCATTGCTTTCGGGTATTCTATATAATTTCAAAGAATCTTCAGAAGCTCAGGAATGCCTTTGAGCACACACAACCAGGAGGCAGCACCCCTAAACCGCAAATAGAGAACATACTCCATGCACAAATGCAAATTAAAACCTGTAAAATAACACAGGCATTATAAAATTTGCCCAATATTAAAACTGATAACAGCTTTACTGGTTTACTGACAATGAAAATATATACCATTTTTTTCTGTCAGAGCATTTATCAACACTTGGCAACCCAGTACTAACTTGACATGTAAGATGATCAAAATGGATTATGTAATCTTTCCCATTCATTTCTATTGATTTTAGTTATGATAAAATTCATCAGTGTGCCTGCGAATGCAAAAGCTGAAAGGCTCTGGTTGCGGGGTAAAAAGGGGAAGGCGAGGAAAAAAAGAATTCAACTGAATTGTAATAGGATGAATGTAATTTTAGAATAGGATTGCACAAATACAGAAGTCATGCTCTAAAGGCTGCAGCAACAAATTAATGCAAATAATTCTGGTAGTCTTATGAAATTACATCTATTATGAGATAAAGTTACAAAATTCCAAGCTAATATAATGTGTCATTAAAAATACAGTTTCTGGAAATATTTTCAAACTTTTTAAAGAATTTCAACGGTAATCAAAGTTATTTTTCGGACTGCAAGGAACAACAAGTGCCAGCAAATGGACCATTTTAATCAGTTTTATTGATTCATGCTTTCACTTCTTATTCAGTTAAAAACAAGGCACATTAAATATAACTTCTTATTGCTCTATAAATGCATGCAGCTCATTCTGTATATCAAAAGTAATAAATAACGGCGATAAAACACCAAGACAGTTATAAAAATGACAATCCAGCCTCAAACACAGCATTTAACAGTCTAATCTAGAACAATAACCTACCACAATACATAAAAGTGCCACATATAAAAACATGCAGTGTATATATCCACTCCAGTAGTTGGCTTGCTTATGCTTGATATTCTTTGAAAACATAGTAGAGCTTTTTTTTATTCCCTAGAAAAGGCTGACATAATGCAAAACTGTGTAAGTTAGAGTCACTGACTTCAGTAGGATTACATTAATATTCCAAAAAGTCTTTATAAATGCATAAAAAGAAAATAAAACCAAGGCTGACCCTTACAGTATATTAGTGAAAATGAGACTGAAATTTTTGTGATACAAAAGAAGAAACTACGCATTTGAACAGACAAAACAAAGCCAGAAACTAACACAGAATAAAAACCATGCAAGAAATTCTAAAGTTGCACTCAGATAAGCTGATTGAAAACAAGAACATTTAAGCGTGATGGAGGCAAACAACCCGCACTTGCCAAAAAATCCAGCATTATCACTACTGTTAACGACTGAGGTGGGAGCTATTTAAAGGAGTGGCTAACTCCCCAGCACAGAAGGGGGTTCCTTCACCTGAATCCCCGCAAAGGCTCTTGAAATAGATCACTTGGTGATAAAAGGGAATCCCTGCACACCCACCAATCAACTAATACCGTGTTATACAAAAGGAAAAAACACTGTTTTGTGTTTGGAATGGGCTTTGAAGGAGCTTATTCTACTATTTCTTTCCTTTTTACTTAAATCAGATAAAGAAACTATCCAGGTGTAAACTTTACAATGATGGCAGGTACTATATTCACAGTAATGGCTTGAAACCATTTCATTTCCAAAATGAGTTTTTGGGATTGGTGAAGGAGCATATATTTTAGAATGTGCAGGTTTTAAGCAAAAGCAGATAGGCTAAAACAAAGACAAGTGCACTTTTCTTTGTCCTTAAAGGAACTTCATTCATAGCAAAACGTGCACAATCAAGGCCTCTTTTAAAAACACAGATTTGCCCAAGCCAGTCATATTGTAAGCCCAGTCCCTACTGTAACAGAACCAGAGGGGACACAAGTCATCATTATCTTGATCTAACTAGAGAAAAAGAGAAAGAGAGAGAGAAAAAATACAAAATTGTGGTATATAATCAGGATGTTTTAAAGGACAGCTCTTCTACCTATTTAGTATCATGAGGATTTAAGCAGTGAAATTTACTGTCTTGGCAGAAAAACACTAAGTTGCAAAGTCATATGCTTCTATTTTTTTTTAAGCTAAAGTAAAAAATTCACACTTTGAAAGAAAAAAATTCACAGTGACACCTGAGAGCATCACTCAACTCTTTTAGGTTTTCCTTTAGGAAGTGGAATCTAAACTTCATTTAAAAATAAAATGAGTAAGGTACTGTTTCTTCCTGTGATTTCTATTTGTTTCAGTGGTGGTGGGTGGAACCCTGGTTAAGTGAACCTCCTAGCTCATATTATGACATGCAGGCTTATCACTCACCTAGGTGAGGAATACAGATGTCCACAATGTTGACATAAATAGAAATTACAGCACAGAAGTGTTTTATGTACCAGTTTAAAAAATAAGACCTCAATGTGCAATGAAAACCTAAAATGAAGTGTTTTTATTTCTTATGACATATAGAACCTAATCTTTAAAAAAAAAAGTACAGTAGATAGTTAGCTTCAAAATAGGAATCACAATTAATAAATATTAAGAAGACTAGTTAAAAAGCCAACAAAATATAGCAAAAGCATTTCAAACTGGCACTTCTAATTCACCTTGTTATCTGTTAAATTCAATGCATACTGATTTTTGGGTTTGGTCTGTGTGTTTTGGGTGTGGTTTTTGTTTTGTTTTGTTTTTGGTCAACTGAGAGTTTTTTCACAGAGTACAGAAGGTGACAGACCTTAAGCAGCATAATTAGCCTCTGATATTGAAATATGGTACCTTATTTTACATATAATAAAAATTAGCATCTATTCTATTCTATTCTATTCTATTCTATTCTATTCTATTCTATTCTATTCTATTCTATTCACATTTATCTGTTGTAAATAATCCCCTAAAAAGGCCAGGCCTGACAATAACATTTGCTATAAAATTTAGAATTTGGGGGTGGAAAATTGTGTTATATGTGAATTTAATAAACACATGTTCTAAACCCTTAAATGTATTACACTGTAAAGACTGGAAAGATATAGTCTCATCCCACTGGATCCAACTTGCCACTTAAAATGCTTGTTTTAAAGTAAGAAAAGCAAAGATCTTCCTGGCAACTAGAACAGTCAAAGAAAACCAGCGGTGACTCGGCAAAAATGAAGTGCTGAGATGGGCTAGCACCATAACTCCCAGTAAATGCCAGTGCTGTCACATCATCTACCTGCAACTCTGCAAGCTTCAGAGTTTCACTTTGGGACTTGTAACCAGATCTAAACCAGATCTAAACTTGTTCTTCCCTCTCCAGTTGTGCCTGTCACACTGAAAGTATAAAACTGCAGTATTGTTTAGAAGGGGAAAACAGGAAGAAGAAAGGGGCTATCATTTCAATAGGTCCCTCTTTTAAAGAAACGCTATCCACAAACTCAATGTCCAGAGTTTTGTGTGTCTCACAAAATTTTTCCAGCTTTTTTCTTCAATTTCAGCCAAAATATTCTGTCTCTAGACCTGATTAGAATAAATACATGAATAATCAAGGAGGAAGGGTGTCAAGTTTAACAGGTCACAAAATGGATGTAAAACACAAAAGCAATGTGCACTGAAAATGAGAAAATACACCTTCTGGAAGCCAGATTGAATGGTAAATACAAATAAAGTTTCATCCAGTTAGGCTGGTAAATATACCAACATCCTATTTTGGAATGTTTTCCAGTGTTAAAAAAAAAAGGCAGCTACCACAGCCACTATTTCAGAGTGGCTTAGGTCCTCTCTGGTTGTTACATGATGATTTGTTGCTCCTACTTTTGCTGGCTGTGGATTTACTGGTCAGACTCACAATCCTCCACAACTGCGGTCCACAGGAATCGGAACTCTTCGGTCGAGGTTCTCCTCTGCAGTTTTCATTAGTATGGCAAGCCGGCTTCCAGATACCCTTCCTTTCTGAATAGCACTCATCAGCTTCAAAAGAAAATATGCAACGGATTCAGAAGGCAGGCCGCAGGATTCCCTGCCACCCCACCCTGCTCGGATATCACTGCAGTAAGCAGATGTAACTAAGTGCTCCATCAACAGCCATAGCAAATACTGTAGCTCATGTAAAAAGTACAGGTTTGAACATTTAAAAAGAGAGGAAGGGGCACGTATTTCACCACTGCTGCAAAAACCACATCAGTCTGCATTTAAAATTAAATATACTGTATCACTTTTTGTCCCTTAATGTGCTCAGGTAGGGCACAATGTTTTTAAGCAATTTCAAACATTGGCTCTTTAACTCCAGTGAAAAATCTTAAAAAGGAAATCTCAAGGATTGAAGAAAGACAAACTGTGACCTATATTTAAGTATCCTTTTTTCAGTGTTACTCATACTTGACTACTTATTCCTTAAACACTTTTAAAAGTAATTTACATTTAAGTCCTTGAAAATGGACCCAGAGACCTACCCTAAGAATTAAAAGCACTCCACAACCCAGATTTTAGCTAATTCATTTTTATCCAATGGATAAAATCAGAATTAGTCTTGAAATTACATGCAGTCAGCAGGCAAAGGTCTTTAATCTGGAAAGCACCTCGCAATTATGAACATAAGGATTTTTTCCATTTCAAGTTGATGTGGTTTTAACTATTTGCTTTTCTTGGTTTCATTTCACCTATCTTTGTTATTTATTTATTTTAAGAAGAACAGAGCTTTTTACCAGAAAACAATACATATGGAAATTACTGAAATATTTTTAGGGTTATAGCTTTCAGCTTGTAGGGATACATTTCTTTAAAACAACTCTCAAAAGGAGTCAGAGGCATCTGCCAAGGGGCTGGATCAGAATTTCGTGACCTTATTAAAAGCTGTTTCACAAGTGATTGCTTATTAGAGATGGACTCCTACATGCAGAAGTGTCATTAAAGCCCAAACCTGGAAATGAAGTCATGCAACCTGGCAATATTTATAGTGATCTTTCCATGGAAATGATTGGAAAAAACATCAATATTCAAACATAGATGTTCAATCATGATAAACATGAGCTGTTAATCTTCAGAAAAGAAAATGTTTTGTTAGAACCCCAAATACATTTGAGAAATAGTGTACCATAAGGAATTTTGACATCTGAAGACAGAACAATTTATTGTTTATCATTTTATCTCTGATTCTAGGAAGACCTTCGATGTTTATCACAGCTAACAAAACTGATGGAGCTAGTTTTCTTTTAGCCATATATAACATGTACAGACCTTAAAAAACTCAAAAGTTTTCTTTAAACGTTACACCTACCTAAAAATTGTATTATATGAAAAGGAAGTATTTGGATGTGAATATATTTCCTGAAAAATATGAGTATTTGGATGTAAATATATTTCATGAAAAATATGGTCTGCATTTTTTACGTTAAAATTATACTTTATTTGTCCTTACTAAAAGCATAAATAGGCTCTTTCAGTTAGAATTGGACAAGAAATAATTATTTAAAAACTCTGCAAGAAAACCTTCAGGTGGCTTAAATTATTGTCAATGTGCTTAACTCTATTAAATTTAAAAAATTACTTAAAGATTAAACCATATAGCATATGCATAAAATTAAATTCTTATTGTCTCTAAAACCCAAATTTTTCAACCCTAAATGCTATTGTTTATTTACAGTACACATGGAATGAAGTAGTACACATGAAATAAGCCATTTCTTTGAAGTTTTCTTTTAAATTCTGAGACAAATATTCTCCAGAAAAATTATACAAAAAAGCATTAGATGGTTTCAAATTCCCAAGAAGAAATTTTAAATTCAATTTCAAATGTGCATTTAGTTAAAGAGTATGCTAAAGAACTAAACATTCTATTTTGTAATGCTGGACACAACCTGTGAAGATTTTCTGCATTTAGATTCAACAATGCTCTTATCAGCAGCTCATCTCCAGAGAGACAATTACCATTTCCTTTGCCTTGATCTTGTTTGTTTAACTTGACACAGTGAAGAAAGGGCTGACATTGACCAAAATCCCCAGCATTAATTTATTTCATGTTCAGCATTCATCATTGCCATGGTGCAAGCAAGATCTGGCATTCATTTGAAATACCTGCCCAAGAAGCACTACAGAAAATAACCTGACTGCATGGAAACCACTACATTCCTCACATGCAGAGTTCTATGGACAGCTACAAATAATGCACAGGTTTGGTGAATTTCTTGCTTTTAAGGAACTTTTAAGGAACGATGTATAGCATCCAATGTGAAGCTGAAGTAACATTTATTTCCGCCATGGTTACAAAGATTAAATAATAGAAACTTAAATAAGGTGAGACTTGGAAATGTTTAAACTACATGGTCTTTACCCAAGAGTACAAGTTTCCTTCTTTTGCTTTTCTGGCTCTTTAGTGTGTGAAAATCTAATAATTACATTCTCAAGTAAATATGATTCTTAAATGACTGTAAGTGTAATTTCTGAAACTTCTTCCATAAAGAATTAACTTTCCACATTAGAAATTCTGCGCTGCCTCTCTGATGTAAGGGAAGAATGGTCTCATAGCGATATTCCAAGGTATACTTCTTCATAAAGCATGCTTTTTATTCGACCCTTTAAGCCATAATTAACTTGGATTTTATGTTATTTGCCAAATGTATTAGAATGTTTCTTATAAAAAGAAGGAAAAGTAATATGCACCAAGCAGAGCCCTATCCCTGAGACAGACAAATCAACCACTGCTGGCTTCAAGCCCTCTTGTTTTTCAGAACAAAGTGACAAATGGGTGAACTTCAGAATTCATTGTTGAACATCCATTCAGGGTAACCACAACCAAAAGATAAAAGCAAATAGATCTGTTTCCTTCTACCACAACTCACCTGCAAAAACTCATTCAGTTCAACCTGCCCATTTTTGTTCAAGTCTACTTCATTCAGAATTTCATGTAGTGTATTTTCATCCATCTGCACATTGATACTCTAAGTAAAATAAATACACAGAAAAATGAAGTTTAATTAAAAATTATGCATGTCATTTCTAACGTTACAAGCTTTTGAAAATTAAAACGAAAACATTCTTTGTAGAAAACGCTACAGAAGCTACATAATATCATCTCTGCAGCTTTATATTCTTCTGTTATCAAAGACATAGTAAACCTCTCTCCCAAACATTACCTCTAATACACGCTGAACGTCAACAATGGTAATAAAGCCTTTTTGGTCTGCATCAAACTTATGGAATCTCTTCTTGTACCTGGAATACAGCATTTGAATAATGGTAAAATACACTTACATAGCATAAGAAGAAAAAAGGAACAGAGAAACTCATTAGGATACCTGTCAATGTCTGAAGGCAGTAGGCTAATTTCAGAGCGATCTGTTAACTGTTCCGATCGAGATTTATAGCCCATTTCATAGTAGAGAAACTTTCTGGCTGTTTCAAGTTCTCTCTGAAACAGAGCCATACACACAAAGTTCAAAGTTTTGCAGAAACAAATTATTGTTTTTGTCTTTTTTCCTTTTAGTCTTCAAAAAGGAAGCTGACCTTCACTTACTTGACTAGCATACTTTTCTTTCAGTTTTACAGACATCAAATTGACATTCCATAAAATACACTTCTTTTACATATACAATATGATGTATACTCTAATACAACCAAGATACAGCACATTTCCATCCCCCTAAAATCTTCCTCATTCCATCTCTACTGAATTCGTTCATCTGACCTCTGGTCACAGGCATCCTTTGATCTGGTTTTGGTCACTGGAGTTTAATTTTTCTAGAATGTCATATAAAAGGTTTTAGATACACTGTAGGCTTCTGTGTTTGCTTTTGCATATCAAAATGATTCATATTGCTGTATGTTTTAATATTTTGTTTCTTTTTAGTGCAGAGTACTCTGGTACAGTATTGATCAGCCAATCCTGCAGGACTAAATTGTTATGGTTTGGCAACAAAAAAGCAAATACAAGGAAGATACGTGGGAATTGAACTACTGCAATACCACATGCAGTGCCAAGGCAAACACCTTGTGATTAACTATGTTAAAATTTTGCCACTAGGATTCTGGTGGCTATAGAGTAAGGAAAAAATGAGCTGCCCTCTGCTTTCCATGCCCCAGGTCTTATCTGACACTAACTACTGCTGCAAACACTGTCCTTAGCTTCCCTCAGGGCACTCTCCTATCTAAGTACCTCCAAGGCGACTCTCATAGCATATTTTGTTTACAACTCTGTTTTCTCATATATGCAAATATGCTCACAAACAACTTCTCCCCCCATACATATTCTATCCAATCCCATATTTGTAGACTTGATCATGTGGCTGACTTTGTCCAATGGACTATGGATAAAATATGCGGCATTTTTCATTGAAAGCTTTGAAAGTAACATTATAATTTTTCTTAGCCTCTTGCTCCCTTACCATGAAAACAGCATGCCTTGGATGAGACCTGAGGTCAGCCTGGTTATGGAGAAGAGTCACAGCAGTTTTTAACTGCTGCAGTTTTTACATAAGATGAATGAAAATACGTGCTTTCTGTGATAAACTACCGGCATCTTGACAGTGCCTGCTATACAGGAACACCTTGCAAAAATCAAACACATCTTACATGCCTCAACTAACCCATCAAAAGATGTCATTACTTCAAGGGGTCCCAAACTCCAAAATCTGAAGTGCCAGTATGTGAAACAAAAGAAATAAACCAACAACACACACACTTATATGAAATTTGTTTATATGTGTTTTCTTATGTTAGCAATAAGACATGTTACTCTTCTGCTTCTTGGGAAGACAAAACTCTTGATGTTATTCCTCCCCTTCTTTAAGAAATATTCTCTTAGGAAAAAGATACCAGAAATGTTAGCAAATGAAAATTATCAATGCCAAATAACAGTTTGAGTTTAAAAAATGAAAAGTGTGTGTGTGTTTAAATAATACTTGCCCTCGAATTTCCATTTTCAAGAGCATTCTTCACTATCAGATTTCTCTCTTCACTTAAGAAAATCCACTAGTTATCATAAAGAAAAATTATTTTGCTGTTCCACCAATTCTGACCAGCCATTTTCCACAAACTAGCTTAAAATTCATACCCTTGGAAATGCCATCTCTGATGTTTCCCTCTAACAATAAGCTCTTCCTAAACTCATGTCCCTCCATTGCCTATGCAGTTTATCCACAGTCCATTGAACAAAGGAATCATGGCATTTCAAAGCTAGGAGAGAGTTTTTCTCCAGGTCACAGTATTTTTCCCTAACCCCACCTCCTGTATAACATCCCCCAAACGGAAGAGTAAGGCTCTACCTAAAGTGCTCTGGCAATAGGGAGGTAATTTAATTCCTCTGAAAGTAGCCCAGAAAAGGAAGGGTCCAATTGTTACAAAGTTTTATATTGAGACTAATCAATTTCCTTACAATGCTTTCAACTTGTTTTGGATGAGCAAAACTTTGCTATAATAGAATAAACCTTCTCAGCACACATAAAATAGTATCATGAACACTCTTCCTCAGAATTTTTGTTTGGTTTTCAGTGTTTATTTCTTGTTGTTTAGAACTATTTTCTGCATATGGCATGGTGTCAAATGTGTCTGCCATGCATTTCTTTCAGACCTGTCTCAGTTACTTTTCTCTCATTGCTGAGGCAGAATACCCGAGGCAGAATACACGACGCACAAAATTAAGAAAGGAAAGGTTTATTTAGCTCAGTTGGTGGGGGTTTCAGTCCATACTCAGCTGGCTCCAAGGCAGTGTGGCATCTGGCAGAGGGCAACAGTTCATGGCAGCAAAAGACAGCAAAAGCAACAAGAGCAAAAGGGAGCAGCAGCAAAAAGCCTCTTTTCCTCCCTTACATTGTATGCAAATTACCCATGGGGGGGGTGGGGGGGGTGGGGGGGTGTAGCATTCACACCCATAATTCCACCATTGGACCATGAATAAATCATAAACTCTAGAAGCTCACATCCATGACGGCATGAGGCTTTGGGGGGACATCCAGACACAAACCATAACAGACCACAAATACTCCATCATATAATACAATAATCAGCGCAAAACATAGTCCTTCAGCAGAAATCTGGCAAGTACCTAGAAGGGAATAACTATCAACTTCATCAATCTATATACATGATTTCAGCTGGGTGAGGTGGCACATGACTGTAACACCAGCAGTTGGGAGGCTAAGGCAGGAGGATCATTGTGAGCTGGAGACCAGCCTGTGCTACAAAGTGAGCTCAAGGCCAGCCTGAACATGGTAAGACCCTGTCTCAAAAAGACAAATAAATAAATAAAAACATACACACACACATACACACATACATACATAAATGATTTCTATTAATGCAGTTTAAAAGTACAATTGGATTTGGGACCAGCCATGCTCCACTGTTAACTACTATGCATTCACAGTTACCTAAATCATATATTTTTCTACATGTGTTACTGTGAGCCTTATAAAACGTACCTTGAATAGACGGAGTTGTTTTTCTACCTAATGAAAAGCTTGCCATTTGTTTCTATTAAATTACACCTAACTAAATTTCACCCACTGTTTCAGTTTGTCACCAGTCACTCACCCATTAGTTTGTGGTTAGACCAAAGATGCATGCCATCAACATAGGTACTGGAGCAGTCAACCAAGGAGACTAGGCCTGCTCATGTGCTTACATGCTAATGATCTGCTATCAGAGATCTCCTTTGAGATCCACAATGGTATTTTGACTGGTTATAAATCTACCAATTTTACAAATACCACAAGAAATTTTTAAAAATACAGAACCTGTATATATCTATATCTACATATATAGATATATATTTCCCTGATTTTACAATCACCTTTCTCTATTTAAAAAGAAAATTAGATGTCTGAAATGATTTTCCTGTTGATTCCTTTCAAGATTCCAGTAACCATCACTGACCAAACTTGAATGCAGTAATTTAGAAGACCACCCACTAGCAATGATAAGACAACTGTTTCTACATACACTGCAAACTAGGTCTTTCTTTTCACTCCTGTTTGAAATGTGGTGCTACATCTGCCCACCTTCTGTCTGCTGGCTCCAATGTGCTACAATATTTTAAAGACGAACAGTAATTAACCCCAACAGCAAAGTCTCTGACTAACATAAACCTCATGTAGCCTTTAATGGAGACAAATGGTAGCCTCCTAGAGTATCTATTCTCCCATACCAATATTTATTTTGCTATTTTCTCACATGAAAGTGGTATGGGAGGTAGGAGTAGGGAAATAACATTAGTATTAAACTCTAAGCAGCTGGGTGTGTAACCCCAGCACTCAGGAGGATCACTGTGAGTTTGAGGCCAGCCTGAGGTACGAAGTGAGTTCAAGACTAGCCTGAACTGCATAGTGAGATCCTGTCCCAAAATACAAATAAATAAACAAACAAACAAACAAACAAACTATAAGCTAAACAGTTCTCCCTTCTCTCAGCATTCAAGTTTATAGTGGTTGTGATGTTAAGCAGGATCCAGGTTAGGCCTTACTGCACTCTTCTAGATTTTTAAGTATTTTAGTTCGCCATCACTCAGCCAATTCCTGATACTGTTCATAGGCCTTCACATTGTTCTTGCTCTCCAGTCTATCACTGCTGAGCAGCTGTCTTCCAATAGTTTCAAACTTGGTGTTTGTCAGCTTGCTGTGAGTCACCTCGGTTTTCACTTATTTCCCCTTTTACCGAAATGAACTTTTAAAATATTGGTTTTTGCAGGACTCAATCTAAGTATTATTTATTTTCTTTAAAGTCAATGAACTGTATCTCTTGTCTAAAAGTTACAAAATTTACTGCATCAAATTCTACAAAGCAGCATTTCCCAAAATATGTCCTAAGAAATACTAAAACCCTTCCTGCTTAGCCTAAAGAGCGGGAATTTGGTCTGTCTTGAAATCAGTAACTACATGATTAAGCTTCAAGATCCTCCCTTGAAACTATGAGCCACTTATTTCCCCCTAAAATATTTGGTGCAATGTTCAGTAAACAAGTCACTTGGTAAGTATTAAGCAGCAAAACCACAATTCCTTTACAAAGACTTATTTATCACCTTGCTCTTCTTTTACTCTTGAAGCTTAAATACTCCCAATGCTTGTAACCTTTCTCCGAAGTCCAACTTTTTAACCTTTTAATTCTTTTTTTCCTTCTGTCTCCTTTGTTCTCTCTAGACTATCCATGGTTCTCATTAATACTCCTCTGTCTCAGGTACTGAATAATAGCTTTAGGTCTTTTATTTTTGTTACTTTGTAAGGGAAATGGAAGAGTATTTCTACGCACACAAATCTGCTCACAAAATTTGAAATGAGGTTAAATAAATCTCGTTTCCAAACACAACCAGTTTACAGAAATTTTTCCTCCTCCCTACCTCCTATTGCTTGAATTCCTTGCACAAAATATGCTGCTGCATATTCAATTCACTTCAACTGCCATTTCTGTAAGAACTTATTATCCCCAGTCCTTCTCTACCGTAAAAGTGACTGTCAGGAGCACAGGAGTAAGTTTTATTCTTGTGGTGCCTCTGTATAGAGCTTGTGCTGATCAAACTACAACTTCAAACTGGAACAGCTACAAGCCAGTATGGCTTATGCAGAGGCAACAGGGAAGGGCAGGGAAAGGTTACGCTCTGGGATCAGAATGCTGGGTTTCAATCCTAGCGTCACAATTTACTGCTCATAGGAACTCTGACTAGGTGTTACTCTGGGAGCCTGTTTCCTTAACTACAAAATGGGGTAAAGGTTATCCCCTACAGAAGCATGATCAAGATTAAGACATTCTGTTTGATCAGTGACCTCCTCCATCTACAGTACGTGCATGAAAATTACTAGGTGATAATTTTGAAAATATAGAAACATGTTCTCATCTCTGAAGACTCTGACTCTGGTAAGCTAAAGTCGAGCCTTGAAATCTGCCTTTTCCACTGTGTTTTCCAGGTAACTCTGATATATAGCCCTCTTTGGGACTCTACACCAAAATGAGAGTGTTTTATGGACAGGCCAGATGTCCAGTACCTCCTTGCTCATTCAGCAGATGACACAGACACTAAATAATGTTCATTTACTCCACGTGAGAAAACAGCAGGAGGACACCTGTCTATGATCGGGAAGCAGGATGTCACCCAACCTCAAATTTGCTGGTCACTTAATCTTGGACACTTCAACATCCAGGATTGTGACAAACGTTTATTGCTTAAGCGATGCAGTGTATGATATTTGAGAACAGCTCTAATGGACTGAGTTGCCCTCTGAGTCACAACTTGCTCTTAGTTCTCTCATACTTACTCATTAGCTATTACTTTCTCTTTCTCCTGATTCTTGCTTATCTTCATAACTTCTTAAGAGTACCCCGGGGATCAGTCTTGGGACCACCGTCGTCATCTAGCTACTCTCTCAATGATATAATTCAGTTTGATAGCTTAGAAGCCAACTTAAATTAACAGCTCCATCCCAGGACTCCCCTCTAAATTTTGACTGATAACATCCAATGGTTTGGATTTATTTATAAGTTGCTAAAGCAGAGACATCAGTATAGAGAATAGTCTGTAATGATTCATCTGAGAACTACTAGAAACTAAATCAGGGTGACAGGAGTTGAATGTAAAAAGAAAAAGCTGAACTGATGCAGTATTTAAAGATAAATATGCTAAGATTTGCTGATGGATTTAGACAAGGTATGAGATGATGCATAAAGTATATATATATATACACAAATTTACAAGAAATTTAAGATTATCATCAAAAATTATGCTAGTTCTATAAACTGATCAGGCCATGGAATATTTACAAAGGGTTTACAAAGGGAAATGTAGTTTTTAAGACTCCCATATAGTACCTCTTTCTTCTTCTCATCCCAACTCAGTTCTCTGCCCATCAGTTCAACAATCCTGGGTAGGGCTTCCTCCGCAGCCTGGACATTAAGAAAGGCCAGGCGAGTGCGGCGTGAGATCATGTCCACAGCAGTGCAGGCATACTCCTTAATCCCATATTTCACCTAAATTAAAGAAAGATTATTTTAAAAGAGGAAATAAAGTTTCACTTAAAAACCTGATGCTCTAAAATGGTTGACATTTCTGTTTATGCTTTGCGGTTTTCCAAGATGCATGAGACAAACAGTAGCACAACACAAGTCATCTATCTGCATGTCAGTACCAGTGAGGACATGGGAAATGACATAAACTGGACAAGTCTAAATGCTTCTTCCTGAATAGAACCGGCATCAATATGCGAACTGCACCGCTCCTCACTAACCATTCATAACCACTTACTTCTTTTTGTTTATATATTAATAGGGAAGTTAACTGACATAACTGAATGGGCAAAAGAAGAGTAGAAAACAGTTACGGTCCTATCTCTGGAGGCTATAAAGTCCTCTGTCTCAGGGTAACCAGAGGGCAGAAACCCTGAATCAATGGAAAAGTGAACAGTTTCTGGACACCAGTGTCTCAAAGCACTATGGATCACAAAATATGATGTCAGGGTTCAGACCACTTGATAACATAAGAAACAAGACTCAAATCTTTAAGAAACTGTCACAGGAAGGGATGCCATCATGCAAGAAATGGGCAACACATACTCCAGAGGCTAAAACTCACAAAAGAACTAAGTGCAGCAAATTTACAAGGCTTGGGACAGCACCACCAAGAATGAAGTCTATTTTATTATTATCACTATCAACATCCTTTCAGAATTAAAGTTTTGTGAATGAAAAAATCTACACTTGGCAGACAGAAACTTTTCTCAAGTTTTAGCTAGCATGTACACATTACAACTCACTTATAATTTTTAAAGAAAATGAAGAATAAGCAGATGAATGGTATTCCATGGCAGATAAGAAGTGCCCATGTGACCAACCACTCACATACCTCTGCTTCAATATATGGAAATTCTGACACCAGCCGCACTCCAACGACAGGCCACCTTTTTCCAGTCACACTTGCCATTTTGGCCACCTCAAAAGCTTTGTCACCATAGGTAGCAGCAAGATGTTGTGCCACCTATGTAAACAAAATTGCATTAGGGAGGGACTTCGACCACCAATACAGAAAACAAAAAACAAAAATCAGTGCATGCTTACCTTCTCAGTTTTTTTACGCCTGTAACTAATAGTTCTCAGAGAGTATTAGGTTTTGATTTTGTGGGAGGAAACCACTTGGGGCTCACAAATGCTTAGACCACAACGAACTCAGCTACTCATGTATCACTGTACCAATGACTAATGAAGCTTCAGGTTCGTTTTGCTCATGGTATCACTTCTGAAGAACAGCTTTCCTTATACTTAGGATGGAAAGAATTTGGGAAGCTGTGTGCAACAGGAATAAACAAATGGACTCCAGGTTTCAAAACAGAAACTGAAATGTATACTGATTTTTAGGCAATTTAGGCAACTATGGGCAAAGAAAGATCACCATTTTTTCTTACTTTACTTTCATAGTACAGAGAGAAATGTACTCAGCGAAAGGGAACTGTAAGTCAAGGAGGTCACACGATGGTTGCCAATCCTGTTGCTAGTAATAGTGAGAGATGAAGTAAGTCAAGTAAGATGATGTGGTATTGCCTACCCACCTCACTTTCAAGTCCATAATCCTGGACAAGCCTAATATACAGTGTGGGGCTCCAATCTTTGCCTCCTTGAAGGAAAAGTCCAACTGTTCTACTAGGTCCTGCTTTCAAATTGTGAAACTTGATTGCAGCATTCACAGCGTCTTCTGCCATAGATCGGTAAGTTGTCCACTTCCCACCTACAGAGAAATTGCTACCTCTTAGTTTTCTTATAATTAACCGTCTATCAATGAATTACAAAAATTGCCTATTGTTTATAATAAACATGGCAAACCAACGTTAAGACTCCAATCAGAATCATAAAAAGAAAACCCTGTTCATTAGTTAGAAGAGAATCTCAAGGGAAAATTTAGTCAAGTTCGTATCTGAAGAACATTCAAATAACAAGGTGATAGATATCCTGTACCTGCTATGGTGATAAGGCCACTCTCGCTGATGTCAACAACATGATTTCGAGAGATGGACTGAGTGTCTGCAGACTTGGGATCTGTAACGAGGGGACGGATACCACTCCAAGCTGCCAGGACATCTCCTCTTCTCACTAGCAAAAAGCATTATTACGGGTTATGAGGATTATTAAAAAAAATTTTACCAAAAGCATGAAAAAATTAATACGCAGGAAAGCATTCACTGAAAGTGCATGAGGCTGCACTTTTAAAAACTGACAAACCTCTTATAAGAACTGAGAGATCAGATGGGTGTAAGAAAAATTCATAAAGATTTAACTGCTCTGTTATAAAGATAATCTAAATCTACCTGAAAAATAAGTTGGAAACCACTGATACCAAAGAGGAAGCAAAGAAAGCAAATGTTAGCAACCCTCCATCTGGGGTAACCTGGAGCAGTTAAAAGCTGTTGAACAGCACTTATAATTGACTTAAAAGCAGCTGAGGTGAGTAGATCAGATACAGAAATGACCAGTCAGCATATGAAAAGATACCTGAGATCAGTAATCATTAGGGAAATGCAAATAACAACCACAATGAGAGACCATTTCATACTCATTAGGGTGATCATTATCAAACAAAAACAATACAAGGTAATAACAACAATTAAACCAGAAAATGGGTGTTGGCAAGGATAGGGAGAAACTGGACCTCCCGTGCACTGCTGCGAAGAAACACAGACACTCAAGCTTAAATATCACATGGTTTCTCTTCTATGAGAAACCCAAATTATAAATAGAGCAACACAAAAGCGATAATAGGACACCTGTAATCCCAGCACTTTGGAAGCAGAGGCTGAGGCAGAAGGTTTGCCATGAATTCAGGGCCAGCCTGCACTATCTAAAAAAAGTTCAAGGCCAGTCTGAATGGCATAGTAAGATCCTGTCTCAAGAAAGAAAAAAAGGAGAGATAATAAGAAGTAGGGAGAGAGATCTGTCTAAAATGGAAAGAGGGCCAGGTGCGGTGGTGCATGCCTGTATTTACAGCACCTGGGAGGCTGAGGGAGGAAGGTAGGAGAGATCGTTGTGAGTTCGAGACCAGCCTGGGCTACAAAGCGAGCTCAGGGCCAGCCTGAACTGCATAACGAGATCCTGTCTCGGGAAAAAAAAAACTGACAAAAAAAATAGGAAGGGAATAAGAAAGGATGAGAAGGAAAAAAGGGTTAAGATTTGTTATGTAAACAATATGCAATGTATTAACCATTGTTACTCTCCTATTGTTTTGAAGTTTTTTTATTTGTCTTTAAAACAAAAGATGTGTTATGAAGCCAGGCATGGTGGAACCTGTAATCCCAGCACTTGGGAGGCTGAGGCAGGAGGATCATTGGGAGTTCGAGACCAGCCTGGGCTACAAAGTGAGCTCAAGGCCAGCCTGAACTGCACAGCGAGACTCTGTCTCAAAAAGACAAAAAAAAAAAAAAAAAAAAAAGTGTTATGTACGTGGACCACTTCCCCACAAGGAATGTACACACTATGTATTGCAATCATGTACTAATTTTTAAAAAGTAAAATAGCATAACTGCTATGAAAAAGGTATAGCAATTCCTTAAAATATTAAACACTGAGAATTACCATATGATCTAACAATCACATTTCTGACTATATACTGAAGTGTATTTAAGTCAGATAAAATGTATATGCCCATTGTTATGGTTCATATCTAGGTGCCTCCCAAGAGTCATGTGCTCAAAGACAGTGTTTTGTTTTGTTTTGTTTTGTTTTGTTTTGTTTTGTTTTGGTTTGGTTTTTCTCCAGTACCGGGAACCGAACTCACGACCTTGCGCATGCCAGGCAGGTGCTTTTGCCACTGAGCTAAATCCCCAGCCCCAAAGACGGTGTTTTTATAACGTAACTGGATTATGGGGGCTTACAGCTGACAGGCAGGGCCTTAGTGGAAGGGGTGGGTCAATGGGAACATTGCCTGGAAGGGTTTATCTTCTTCCCCAGATCCTCCCTTGCTCTCTCTCTGCTTCTCGGGTGCCATGACTTGAACAGCTATTCTACTATCCCCCTCTACCATGCTATCTTGTCTTGGAGCCGCTGCGTTATGTACTGAAACCTCTATAAACTGTGAGCCAAAATAAATCTCTCCTTTAAGCTGCAGGCTTCAGATAGTTTGTCCCCGCAATAAGTGACTTAGGCACTCAGGTTCACAGTATTATTCACAATAGCCAAAAATGTCTAAGTGTCCATCAACAGATGAATGGATAAACAAGATGTGGTAGACAAATACAAGGGAATGTTATTCAGCTTTAAGGAAGGAAATAATGACACATGCAGCAAAACAGATGAACCTTGAACATATTTATGTGAAATGAATAAACCAATCACAAAAGTACAAAAACTGTATAACTCCACTTACTCTATATAAAATACTTCACCATCCTCAAACTCACACAAGCAGAAAAAAAAAAAAAAAGGTTTCCACCAAAGTGTAGGAGACATGAATGGGAAGTTAGTGTTTACTGGATACAGAATTTCACAACGAAGATTAAAAGTTCTGGAGATAGATAGCGGTGATAGTTGCACAACAGTATGAGAGCACTTAATGCCATAAGAACCATATACTTTAAAATAACTAAAATGGTAAATTTTGTTATGCATATTTAATTTTTTTAAAACCATGATAAAAAGATAAGTTGACACAGTTCAAGTTTTAAAATATGAAAAGGTTAAGGAAATATTTTACATATAATACAGAAGTACCAGGACCTGTATAAGCCTATATTACACATCCATGCCTTAGTTCAAATTAATCGATGTATTGCATGGAGCATAATTTTCCAGGCAGAAGACAGGCTGGAATTTAGTTTCTGCTTCCACCTTGTATAGTAAATATTCTGTATTCTATACACAGCACCACCTGGCAATTTTATCTAAGACTATTATCTAGCAGATTCTGTATAAGGAGTCATAAAGTCTCCCAGAAATGATTATAATACAAAGTCCTAAATATAAGTGCACCTTATCAAGTATAGGAGAAAAACCCTAAAAACAAGTTATACTGAATGACAGAAAACTGGCCCCTCCCTGTCTTTGCTATCAAGTGAAAAACATATTTCCAGTAAAGATAAATTCAATTAAAGTAACCCAGTATATTTTAATGTTGATCCGTAAGGGCTTAAGGACTGTGCTCTTAAACAGACTATCATTTGAAAGAAGAGGGGCCATATACCTGTGGGAGTGTTTAATGAGGCGCATATTCACTGTAACCGAAACCAGCAGAGAAAGCACATAAATGAATTGATGAGAAAGCCTAAAGCTTCTTGGTCTTGCTAAGTGGAAACCACCTGAGACCTCCACGTGGGGGACCCTAGATCCTCTGATGCTCGCATTCTCTCAAATATGTTTGATCCTGAAGGTTTCCATTAGAAGGGGCTAACTTCTGCATCACCACATTCTCTAAGGCTTGTAAAAGCTCAACACAGGGGCTGGGGATTTAGCTCAGCGGCAAAAGCGCCTGCTTGGCAAGCGCAAAGTCGTGAGTTCGGTTCCTGGTACCGGAGAAAAACCAAAAAAAAAAAAAAAGCTCAACACAGTGGAGGACTACTCAGCCATAAAGGGCAAACTGAGTCATCTGCAGGAAAATAAGATACACCTTAAAACCATAACGTGAAATAAATCAGACAAGCAGCTTAAATACTGCATGAATTCTCTTAAATGAGAAATCCAGAATATAAATAAATTAAAGAGCAAAATAAAAGAAACAAAGAGATAGATCTTTTTACAAACAGGAAGGGGACCAAGAGATAGAGGGCGAGGGGAAGGGGATGAAAAAAATTTGGATGTGTTATATACATGTACCAACTTATGATAAACGTAACCATTATGTACTACAAACTTTTACTAATTAAACAATTTTTAAATCCCTCAACACAAATAATACAAAGTATTTAAATCTTTACAAAAAATAAAAACCTAACTAGAAAATTACTACAACTTTCCATCAGAGTTCACATCACCCTCTAAGTCTAAAATAGAACTTAACCCATACCTACTTATAAAGCCACTGTGGTCACCACATAGTCCCTCCAATGTCTGAAATTCCTTAGCCACGCAGATTGGGAATTTGGTTTCAACTCTTAGACCCCTTTGACTAATTTTTAAGTTATCTGATGAAAAATTAGACTTCCCAGAATAAATCTGAAGTACATGTACATAATCTGTGGCAAATGCTTTACCTTTTCCATTACAACTGGCAGAAACACTCATCTATGAAACTTGTTACGGTTGATACAATGTGTTAACTTGCAGAGTCTAGTGGCTTGACTAAGTTCCGCATCCTGGGGTGAAAAGAACATGCCCTTCCTGCTCTGGGATGCTGTTCATCGTGTCAACTTGAGAAGTTTAGACTAAGTGACCAAGAAGGGCCAGGTCCTTACTTTGTATCATCCTGAGCCTGTGCGGGAGGAGGGCATGGAGATGGTGTGAGTACTGCACACCCCTGGGTGGGGGCAGCCTGCTTACAATGTAAGGGAGGGAAAGAGGCTTGCTTCCTACCTCTTTTTGCTCTTCTGCTTTTGCTATCCTGTGAGGCCTTGAAGTGCTGTCCCTGTGCCCTGCCACTCTGCCTTCGGACCAGCTGACTAGAGACTGAAACCTCCACAAACTGTAAGTTAAATAAACCTTTCCTTCCTTCATTCTGGGAGTCAGGTATTTTGTCTCAGCAACAAAAATAAAAAGTAACCAAGACACTTGTGTTGTCTGGAACAAAGAGATCAAACTGAAATAATATCTAAGTTTTTCACTCATCAGCGAAGACAAAGCAAACATTATGTATGTCATCGATGTCATTTTTCATCCTTATTCCTGGAACTGATCCTCAAAATAAAACAAACTACTACTAGAAACAAAGGGCTCATAATATGTTAAATTTTTTTCGACATTTTAGCATTCAGCTTTTTACTCTGTGAATTATATCGGAAGAATGTTAGGATTAAATTTATTCAAAAAAGATATATTGGTAAGGATAGTACAATTTTAATTAAAATATTAACCAATGTTACTGGCATGCAGTATTTCTATATTATTAGACCAAAAGATGGTTAAACCAAGTTGTCTATTAGTTCCCTCCCAATCTTGAGAATTAATGACCC